CCCCCCACAGACTGCCAGCCTCCAGCCACCCCACCTCCGCCACCCCCATTGTTCCTCCCCCTTCTCTTTGTCTCGCTGCACCTGGTCACATCCCCCTCCTGGGTCCCCGGGTACGAAGGGCATCGGCCATCGCCTAGTGCAGCTCACGAACACCGTAACTTCGTCACACGGGGCAGCCCCCTGGCTCTGGGGCAGAGCGGGGGTGAGGCTGGTGCTCTGGATGGGGAGCGGGGAGGGAGGCACTCACTCATGGGCTCGCTCTGCCCATAGGCTACAAGCCGCACGCCGTGACGCATGCCTCGGACTACTTCGACCAGCTGTACGCGTGGGCCGTGGAGCTCATCCGGCGGTGAGTGTGCGGGGCACGCAGGGGCCCATGGGGCAGGCTTCGCACGGGGGCGGAGCCGGCCGTTCTGGGAGGTAGGGTGTGCCTGGCTGCTGTGGGGACGGGACGGAGCCTGATGGGGATCCCTGCAAGCGGCCTGGTCCCCCCGGTGCCAGGCCGCTGGGTGCCGTGCTGGGCAGTGGCTCGGCTGCATGCCCAGTGGGCGCATGTGTGGGGCGGGCGTGACGTCTCTCTCCTCCCCAGGGGCCACGCCTACGTCTGCCACCAGAGGGTAGAAGAAATCAAAGGCCACAACCCTCCGCCCTCCCCGTGGCGGGATCGGCCTGTGGAAGAGTCACTCCTCCTCTTTGAGGTACGTGGGCCTGGCAAAGGGACTGGGCGCTCGCCCTGCCCTCTCGGCGACCCCCCCCCGCTGGGCTTTCGCCCCGCCCCCTCTGTTACCGCCCCGCCCCCTCAGCGACCCTCTCCCCCCGCCGTGACTGCCCCGCCCCCTCGGCGACCCTCTCCCCCCGCTAGGTGCTCGCCCCGCCCCCTCCATAACCACCCCGCCCCCTCGGCGACCCCCTCTTCCCCCTCCATGACTGCCCCACCCCCGCCGTGACTGCCCCGCCCCCTCGGCGCCCCCGTGCCCCCGCTGCGCGCTCGCCCCACCGCCTCCCCACGGGGCCCCCCGCTGGGATTCCCTCCCACCGCCCGGGCCCCGCCCCGCAGCGCCCCCTGTGTGCGGAGGCTGCCGGCGCTGGCTGATGGTCCCCGCTGGTTTCTCCCGGCTGTCGCTGCAGGGGATGAAGAAGGGGAAGTTTGAGGAGGGGGAGGTCACGCTGCGAATGAAGCTGGTGATGGAAGACGGGAAGCTGGACCCTGTCGCCTACCGCATCAAATACATGCCACACCACCGAACCGGGGACAGATGGTAGGTTGGCCCCCGCCCGCCTGCCGGGCTCTGCCCTTCGGCTGGGGTGAAACGGGGCTGGGACCTGGGGGGCAGGGGCCTCGCTTCCCCAGAGATGCAAGGATCTGCCTAGAGCAGCGCAGGGGACCTGGATGCAGGGGTGGGGGCAGGGACCCTGGGCTTCGCTCCTGTGGTGGGGCAGGTGGCTTCTGCGTTGGGCTGGGGCCTGAGGGGGGAGCTGGCGCTGGCCAGGGGCTGGTGTCTGGGGGGGAGTGGGCACCGGCCATGGGCTGGTGTTGGGGGGGGCAGCGGGCGAGGGGCTGGGCGTCCTGCCCTCAGGCCCTGCCTTGCCTTTCAGGTGCATCTACCCCACGTACGACTACACGCACTGCCTGTGCGACTCCATTGAGCACATCACCCACTCGCTCTGCACCAAAGAGTTCCAGGCCCGGTGAGGCGGGGCCAGCAGAGCTGTGTCTCCTCTGCGGCTGTGGGGAGCTCGCTGTGATTGTGGGGGGCAGTGCCTGCGGCTGTGGGGAGCTGGGAATGGTTGGGGGCCAGCAGGGGCAGTGCCTGCGGCTGTGGGGAGCTCAGTGCAGCTGGGCCTGAGCCCAGTTGGCAGGGGGACAGCAGTGTGAGCGGCAGGGCCTGGGG